TGAAATCAGGAAAATAAACAAAAATCTTCGTACACTGTACAAAGCGATGTATAGCTCCAGTGTGGTGGGTACCTGGCACAGACACATCTATTGGAACAGCCGCGTACATTTGATCACATCTTGGGAGGAACATGTTCTCCATGTACAGCATTTGCTGCAAAGAAGCGACATCCACATAGGAAAACTGAACACCACTGAGTCATGAGCTTTGGAAGGTGGCCTGCCAGGGGTGGCAGTGGCTAAGGCAGCTTCTTCCATCTAATCAATTCCATGTTGCTTCCTCCATTTCCCAAATCCCTTTGCAAAGGCAATAATTCCTCTTTCTAGTCACTCGCAGAGAAAGAGGCATTAAAGGTGATCAGCAGAGTGTGAACAGTCGATCTTTTTCTTACCTGTTTCAGATTACTTTGTGAGTGAGTGTGTGCCTGCATGTAGTGGCCTAGAGAGAAAATAGATTCCTTCTTTCTTTTTGGCTAAGGTTTTCCACCTCTCCATAATGCTGACCTTGTCTATGTTCCTCTGTCGCAGACAGAACAAAAACCAGAAAGCTTCTTAGTAGTTTGAGAACCCAGTGCTCTCTATTTCCCACTATAACATGCACCTCTCAGATGTGAAGCAAAGGACATTGTAGCACAAAAAGTGAAGCTGGGAGAGGAGAGGAGAGCAGAGGAGAGCAGAGGAGGACCAAAGGTAAACTTTCCCAAGATCCCTGTATTCAAAATTCATATTTTAGAAAGGAAGAATGTTTATTTAGGGACATTGAATATCCATAGGTTAAGTATTCCTCTTTTCTTATTTCTCACATATAACAAGACAACATTTCTTTTTCTTCATCCCCCCCCCCCCACACACACACACACACAACATTTCTTTTCCTCTTTCTTCTTTTTAAAGGTTGGTTTTGTGTCAGAGAGTCTCCTGGGTGAGACCAGCTGGCAATCTCTGGAGTCAAAGGATTTATTGAGGGTTTCCATCTCCCAGCCCATCTATAACAATAGCTACCATGCCAGTGGGAGAGGGTGAGGATCATTTATTGGCATGGTTAACAAAGCACCCACAGTCACAATCAGCCACAGCAATTGCCCACTGCAGTTTTAATATTCAGAATGGCCACTAGCACATGCCTGTTGTGGTGATCATTTCTCTCCCATGGATAGGAACCTGCTAAGATGTCCTCAGGAATATTCACAACAGGGATCATGTTAGCCCAGTAGTAAGAGATGACAGGCATGAGATCTTTTACTCTGCTGTAGGAACAGAAACCAAACAAGTTCTGGCTGCACTCCAGAAGGTCAACTGGCATGTTGACTAGGGATGATGGGAGCTGCAGTCCGACACAGCTGAAGGATACTGAACAAGGAAGACGGCAGCAACTGTAGTCACACAAGCCAGCTTGGTTTGAAAGTTGTGACTTTCAGCACAATAGATACATTGCTTCATGCTGAGAAAAGGAAGCCTAACCCAACCCAAACTTTCCCCCCAGCACGATTCAGCAACACAGTGCTGTCTCTTGACCCCCAGCTAACCCTGCATCAGCTGAGCCTTCAGCAGAGCAAAGTCAGTGCTGGCCAGTGCAAGATGCCTCACTCTCCACCCTGTTAGTTTGACTGTCAATTCGTCTTCCTCTAAAGGACCCCATAGAGTTGGTGGGGATGTAGCCACTTATCCAAGGTGACCTTATGGACTACCTGCTTCTTACTTTCTTAAGATAAGCATCCCTAACAACCTCGTATCTGTAGCATCATACATGACTCTGCAGCTTGGAAAGCCCCTTTAATGCAGGGGTGGGCAACATGGGGTGCATTTTGGCCTGTAATTCTTTTCAGTCCCAGCCATCACAGCCAAAACATCTGGAAAGTTACAAATCACCCACCCCCGTTTGAAGGCATCATAGCATCTGGACCAAACACAAAACAAAAACTGTAATCCTACATGTGTTTAGACAGGGGAAAATGTCTTTTTCTGTCCAAACATGAATAAGATTGCATTGTTTGTGTTTAAATAACCTAGCATTTCTGTCCTAAAATAGCCACTTTGATGCTTTCCTACCTCCCCACCCCACCATATTATTACATTATACATTCTTCATCTAATCTACCAACTATCTTTTTTCCATTAGTTTTTTTCCCTTCAGGGTCTAATCAGACCCATACATTTGGGACTTTGATATTTGTTTTGTAAACCTTCTGGCCCCTGACTTTCCACTGACATATCTGAGGTTCACAGCAATGGGCAGTTTACAGAAAGTCTCACAATCCAAGCCAGGGAGCCTCTAGGTCCTCTTTTGGTTCCCAAGGATAACACCACTTCTACTTCAAAGCACTACAGAAGTATGCAAACTTCCCAATTGCACAGAATTTGGTTCTGAAAATAGTAAGTTGTACAGTTGGTTTATGGCAGAAAAAAGACAGAAAGCTACCACACTAACCCAGACACTTATACCAGGGACTAACCCAGTGGAATATTCCCCCAAGTGAAAATCTATTTGGAGTGCAATCCTATGCACATTTGCCCAGAAGGAAGCCCCACTGAAATCAAGCGATCCCAGGTAAGTATGTAAAGGATCGCAAGCTTTCATGCACTTCGGATGAAATGCTACAAATTTAATCAAGGTGAGGATTGTGAACAGTAGGGCTGTTCAACACAGTACCTACTCTGAGTGGTGGCTGCTTCCTTGTGGGGGTTCCCCGATATGGATGGCCCTAATGGGCTGCACAGGGCAACTCCCGATGGCATCACGATTTGGAACACCCAGCAGTGCTGAAACTTTCCATGGCATGATGAGCTTTTGCATGAGAAGGCTGCGGGGAGAGGATCCGATCGGAAGCTGCTGTGTGGAGAAGCAGTTGCCACAAGGCACGCGGGGGGGGGGGACGTACAGACCAGCCCCCCATTGCCTAGCCTACCACCCATTCCAGCCATGGTGCTATTCCATACTCACTTATCCACCTGCTGGATGTTACGCAGGGCGTAAAGGGGCTGGCACTGTGTCCAGCAGGAGTGCAGAAAGGGCAGCTGGAATGAAAATGAAATCCTCACTAAACTTACCTTGAGGTAAAAATTGCTGAGTTTGCTGAGTTTTTCCTTCATATCACTACACTCCTGTACATTTCTAAGCAGCAAGTTCCACTGTGTTCAGTGAGGTTTACTCACAGATAAGTAGGTACAGGAACACACACTTAATGGGAAATAATTCTCTAATTCAGCAGGGCCTATTTCTGAGTAGGCACATGGAGAGTTCTGGCATAAGTGCTTCCCAAACAGCAAGCATGAGATGGCTTCAAGTTGAAACCCAGAGCCCACATACTGGGGAGATAATCGCGTCAGGCTGACTGTCCTCCTTACCTTTAATAGAATGATGAGGGCCAGACCTTGCTGTATATTCGGACATGTCTACTCTGCCGCCAGGCTGCCTGATAAGAGCATGGAGACTGAAGAAGAGAGGCACGAACCAGACAAAGGCTCTGAAATGATGGCAAAAGAGGAGACGTGCCTCCACAAGAATGTTCTTGAAAATCACTGAGGGACGGTGGTTACAGTTGTGTGCAGCACACGGTATTTCATATATAATATCACACAAACATCATGTGCATTCTGCAAAATGATAACAATATTTCAATATTTTGAAAGTAAGATGGAGAGAGGATAAATCCAAACCCTCTTCTGTTCCTCACTCCTTAGTGCACAGAACTTACACAGGTCTACTGACGTCAATGGGATTTCCATTCAAGTAGCTCAGTAGGATGACAACCAAAGCAAACAACCTCACTGAATTCAAGGGGACTTACTCCCAGGTAAGTGGTTTAGGATTACAGACTTAATCTGTGGCACAGAAGTAGAAAAAATTGAGGAAGCTGTGGAAAAAATGCTAATTGCACTTTGTGGCCCTGTATTTGTCTTTGGGACGGCACTGGCGATGGTTCTGCAGGAGAACGTCACTTTCTTTTCCTGGTGGCATCTTCTGCACAGCTCTCCTGCCACAGTCAATAGGGTGCCGCTTGCTTCCGAGTAAGCAAGTACAGGATCCGGGCACGCGCTTTTGCGAGACCTCCCTCGGGCTAAACTGGCTCAGAAGAAGCCAGGGGATGGCGCACGGAGCCGCCGCTGGGGAACCGGACGCGCTGCAAGCCACGGAGCGGCGGCTGCTCACGGGATCCAGTGAACTCCCCCCCAGTAACACTTCTCACAAGTCCCCACTCCCGTGCACGACTCGGGTCCGCAGCGGCCTTGACCTGCTCCTTGGGGAGCGTGGCTCTCGACGCCCGAAAACTGTGGCCAAACCAACTTTAAAAGCAGGAACGATGGTTGAAGAGCAAATGAAATGTGAGCGGGATTTGTTTAAATAATCGCGAACACTTCCAAAAAGAAAAAAAAAAAGTTTTTTTAGGACTGCGACGTGCCCTGCTGGGAAGTAAGAAATGAGGGGCTTCCTTCTGAGCAAACCTCACTGAACGTACGACTCCTCGCCTCCAAACCCTTCCTCGGACAGGCTCCAGCTCCGAGCAGCGGGCGCCGATCCTGCCAGCCACGTTTTCCGCCCAACCCATCCTGGCCGTGCCTGTGCGCTCGGCGGAAAGGAGTCGGCCGTCGCTAGCTCCCTGCCGCCCCCCTGCGCTCTGCTTGTCGCCAGCCCCCTCTCGCGGGGCCCCGCTCCGGCCCCCCAGCGGCTGGGCTCGCTCTTCTGCGTGCGGGACACCTTGGTATTGTAGACGGAGGCTGGACGGGGATCGGATGCGAGGCGCTCGCTAGCGGGCGGCGGCGGCGGCACCGGCAGCGCGACCCCCGCCCTCCCCTCCCTCCCCTCCCCAGTCCGGAGAGCGGCGCGCAGCCCGCGGAGATGCCAGCCCGGCGGCGGCAGCGGCGGCGGCTGCCTTTCTGACCGGCGGGCGGCTCCGCGTTGGTACCAACTTGGGCGAGCGAGGCAGCAGCCTGGCCCCGGGCGAGGGAGCGCTCCCCGCGGCTTGTCGCCTCCCGTCGCCTCTCCGGCCCCGGAGTTGCCGCGATCCGCGTCCCCGAAGCGTGGCTGCGAGGCGAGCGGCGGAGCAAGTCTCGGGGCTTCGGGCGGGGAGGCTGGTGCTTCGGAAGGGCTGCAAGAGGAAGAAGCCTAAGAAGAGGACGCCTCTGGAGAGGAGACGGAGAAAGCGGAGGAGAAAGCGGAGGAGAGCGGGAGACGCCGCAGCCTGCGCCGGGGAGCGATGCCTCCTGCCCGGGGCCGGGGAGCTGCTGGCCCCGGCGCGCTCGTCCTGCTCCTGCTGGGCGTCTGCAGCCCCGGACTGTGCCGCGCAGGTGAGTCGGTGCGGGAGGACGCCGGGCAGGACCGCGTGCGGCGGCGGCGGTTTTCGGCGCTGGGGCAGCGCAGCGGTTTCGCGTTCTCTGTCGGCGCCTCCGGTCGTGGCTTTTGGGCTCCGAAGCTGGAAATCAACGCGGTCCCCTCTCCCTCCGCCTCGTCTCCCACGCCATGCCCAAATCAGTGCAGTTTACTTCTCGGTGTCCCCTCTTCCGCCCCCTTTCGCTCCGCCGCGCCTGGTCTGTTCCTTTCTGCAGCCTCGCCTGATTCTTCTGCCCGTGCTTATTTGGGGGGGTGTTAGGAGCCCGAGCTGGACTTTAAGGGCAAACTTACTTACAAACAAACCAAAACAGAAATGGAGGGGTGGGGGGAGGAAAGAAAGAAAGCAGAGAAAAAGTCCAGGAAAGCAAACCTCCGCTTTGCGCTCTCCCTCTGGTGGTTCTCCGCTCCCATGACCGGGTCCCCCGCACTCAGTTTCGGTAACTGAACACCCCAGACGAGGCTGCTGTTAGGTTGGGCCGAGAAGGGCGGACGGCGGCTAAGCTCGAAAGATCCCGCTGATGCAGCGGGACAGTTTCCTGCCGCTCCTGAAGCTCGTCATTTCGGGAACGGGAGGAAAGGACAGGGCAGGGCAGGGCAGGGCAGGGCCGGACACCGGGGGAAGGCACGGCCGGGATCGGTCTATTTCAAGGGCGCAGGGCCGGTGAAGAAGTGGCCACTGCGGGGGAAGGAGGGAGCGGCGAGCGCGAAGGGCAGCGGAGGGTTTCCCGGGCAGGAGACGTGCAAAGCACCGGGAGATGTCGTAGATGCGGTGCGATCCTGTGCGTGACCACTCAGGAGTGCGTGCCCCTGCGTTCAGCAGCGTTTACTCCCGGGTGAGCGCGCCTAGGTGGCTTGCAAGCATCTCCAGCGGGTGCACCGTTTGTGTTTTTTTCCCTTCGGAAAAAGTTTTCGTGCGTGCGGGGCTCCCGGGAAGACGGAGGCAGACCACGCCGTCCGTGTACCGTGGCTGCGCGCCGTCTCGTGGAAGCGCCGTGCGTGCCGGTTGTTCTCGCGGGCGGTCGCGGCGCAGCGGCCCGATCGCGCTCCCGTCGACTCGGGAGGGAAGCCCGCGCCTGCCCGTCTTCCGCGGGAGGAGGCGGCCTGCCCAGGCGTGCCGGGGGCAGCTCCTAGGACCGCGCTGCAGCGGGCTGCGCTCTTCCGCCGCTGCCCCAGGGGTCGCCCCACCTGCTGCGGAGCCGCGCGCGGCTTGGACGGGCATTTCTGCGCGGGGGGCTCCGCGGCCGCCTCCGCGCACGCCTCACCCGCTCCATCAGCTGGAAGGAGAGCGGACGTCGCCACAGGTCCGCGTTTCCAGTGTCAAGCGAAGCGCGGGGAGGGCTTCACCCCGCGTCCATGTAGCCGTGCCGGGTGGCGCGGCCCTGCGTCTGCGCCAGGAATACCCCTGCTGGGAACCCGAACCTTTCCGTGTTTTTGCGGTGTATTTTCCGAGCCTTGCAGTGTCGACTCTGGGGTCTGGACTGGCCCAAGTGACCGTGTGGTATACCTGAGAGCAGAACAGATCTGGTTCCTTCCCCACGCCTCTTCCTAAGTGGCATCTTACTCTGAGTAGTTGCTGGTCTGAGACTGCAGTTCTGAGCTTACTACAGGCTACTTCAACCCAGGCTGCTGGTTTGGGGCGACTCTTCCATGAGCTTGCCGAGCTTCCGTGTTTTAGACCGCAGCCCCAAGACTCTCCTTTCTTGGGGAGACCCTTTGAGCAATTCCCCTTGCTTCTATTTAGCATGCATAGATCTGGGTTCTTAAACTGTGATCTAAGGGCTCAAGTCCTACCTCGAAGTCAAGCAAGACTTTTGCATATAAATCCCCTGATGTCAGTGCAATCTATTTCCCCACAACGGTTTTAGAATATGCTATTGAGACCAGGGGAGTAAGGCCCACTGATATCGCTTATTGCTTCTCCAGCATGCACGTTTTCCTCCTATAGTGCCGTATGATGCATTTGGGAGGAAAACACGCGTGTTAGAGAATTAAAGGATCAAAGGTGCAGTGATTGGTCTTTTTTTCATTTAGGATAAAACTACTCCAGGAAAAATGTTTCTAACTGTCAGAATAGGGTTTTAAGTGGAAACAATGTTGTATCTACATGGGGGGAGTGGGTTGCAGGGGAACCCCTGGAGCCTAGGATATCTGCCCAGTTGTACAGCAAAATATGGACTCTGCTTTTTTCAGGATCATTAAGGTGCACGTTTTTGGACTGTGCAACCAGAACCATGAAGTTGGGCTTACTGAAAAGAGATGCCAAGGTGGGAAAATAACCACAACCACCTAATGGAGGGTTGCTTGTTAGTGTCTTGGCCTGTAGCTGTTGTATGTGATGAAGATCTGTGTTTATGTACCCATCCTTTTAAATTATCCTTTTGCTCTAGGAAGAAGCATGGTATACCTCCGACTTTCCTCTGGCTGAGTTCTTTGCTTCCCAGCCTCTCCTCCCATTTAATCACCAATGTGAACTCACTTGTACACCTTTATTTGCTGCTGTTTATTTCTGGCTCTCCTGACAGGACTTTAATAACAGTTTTCTTTTGGGTGGCCCTTTCAGTGTAAAGCCAAACCCTTTATAACAAGCTACCTAAAGATGCTTTGGGTGAGAGCTGATGATGGATCAGAATGTTCCTAATTGCTGGTAGCAACCATGCATCCTGAGCAGCCACTCATAATGACACTGAGTGGCTTGTTTTTAGGGTGCTGTTTGCTCTGGCTTCCAAAGAGCTCACTTGTAATTAACTAGAATCAAATTATAATTTGCTCAGAGTCTGGGACTTTAAAGATGTATTTTGAAGTTGCAGTTAATGATAGGGGAGAGCGGGCTTGAGTGAACAGAGTGCATTGTTTGAAGGGATTCTGGAATGTGAAATGAGAGTCACTGGTTCGAGGGCTTCTCAGCGTACATTTATAGATATGCTTTGCTATAAAATTAAAGAGGACTGAGCCGAAAGAGCAAAGCAGGGGCCCTGTGTTGCATTCCTTACACCTTCTGAACATCTGCTGGAATAAAGGACAGTTTGAGCATGTGATGAAAATAGGCCAAGATCCCAACTTGAAGTAGAAGCCAGGCTCTTAAACATTAATATTTTCTCAAATATGCTGATTTAAGGATAAGCCGTGATGGGGAAAGGAAGAAGGGATTGGAGGTTCGGTGGGCGAAGGCACAAGCCGGTTTCTAGCTGCCCCTGCTGTTACCTCCAGCTTTGACTGCATTTGAATCTTATTGATGTTCTCTTTTTGCTGGCTGTGCAAATGATCACCCTGTTGAGGATTCCATTCTCTTATTGAATAGTCATGCTAGCTCGAAGTGCTGCTTGAAGTTCGGGCTCGGGGCTCCCTATGGAGGGGGATGATGGGCCGACTGAGGGTAATCATCACTTCAGCTTGTAAGAATTCCCTTTTAATTCCAGATCTTTGGTTCCCCATTATTGTGTCAAACATTGGCTTGAATTATATTCACATTCCCCCCCCCCTCCACGCTGCTGTATTTTATTTTGTAAGTTGCAGCTAATGTAGGGCGACCTTTTACACTTTCTTAGCCTTTCCTGGCAGTTCACAAAGGTCTTTGTTGTGCATCCAAGGGACATTGGAATGATCACGTGAAATGGCAACTTAAACCTTTGAAGGGTGTGAGCCTATGTGCGAAGTCCTACTGTTCCCAGCATGCTAAGCTGGCTGGTGCATGCTGGGAGTTCTGGGACTCTTTCTTTTTTTCTCCACACATCTAGGATTGCACCCTTCGTTGCTGCTTCATTGTGATTCCTTCTCTCCTTGCTCTGTGCCAGCCTTCCCCAAGCTGGTGCTACCCAGATGTGCTGGCCTACAGCTCCCATCATCCACAACCAGCATGGCTGTGCTGTTAGGGGATGACAGGGGGTTGTAGGCCAACACATCTAGAGAGCACTGATTAGTGAAGGCCGTTCTTTCCTCCAGTCTCTGCATCTTTGCCATTGCTGTAGAAGCTGAATTTGAGCAAGGACTTGGCTCTCAAACCTTGTGCCAGTGCCAGAGTTGAGCCCTGTCACTGCAGCAGCAGTACCTCCAAGCACGTACAGAGTGCATTTCCTTTGATGCCGAGTAAGCACAGGCACCCCAGCATGTCTCCCATTAGCAGGCAGGCCAGTAGAGACCCAGTGACACCGATTCCCTTTTGACTGTTTGCCACACTCTCGGGATTCCCCTTTGTGTCCTGCAGCAAAGGACACATGAAGATGTCAGTGTGATGTTTTCCTTTTAAGTGCAGGTATAAAACGCTGTCTTCAGCTGCACATTGCAGGAGTCAGGAAACCATAAAGCTTGATGGCTGCAGAGTTTGGGAAAGATCATTGCTATAAACATTAGGGGCTTGGGGTGCTCTGACAGGCAGTGACAAGCACGATAGCTTATACACTTTCCTCTGTTCAGAAGACTTTGAGGCCTCTCTAATTTAACTGGTCATTTTCTTCCCACCCTGTAAAGCAGGAGGGGGGCTGCCTAATGCTCTGGTTCTGGGATGTGTCACCAGACACAGCTGGGACATCGGCTTGATCGTTGTCAGAAGCATCTTGGGGCAAGCATGTCCTGGGAGAATATGGAAGGGGAAAACATTAGATTTTTTAAATGCTGTATTAAAGTTCAAGAAGAGTTTGCAGAACACGTCTTCACCAGTGGTATCCTTTTTTTTCTTCTGCCCCAGCCAAGAGACCCAGATCCACAGCAGGCGTTATTCCAGCTTTTGGTGCCCTTACAGTGGGGGTCTTTATTGCAGGACCTAACTAACCCATGTCATATCTTCCCTTCCTGTGTCAATTTTCACAGTAATCAGTGCACTCCTGTGCCGTCTGTATTTTGCAACGCTCTGTATTGAAAGGATTGGTTCTAAAATTTTAATCCTCTCCTACCCCCATCTGAAAGGAGTATTTGCTGTCTATGCTGTGCCCTTTAGAAAAAGCAGGGGACAGCGTGCTAGCCA